CGCGGTGCCGGTACCGGCGCTGGCGGTGCCGCTGCTCGCGCTGTGCTGCGCCGCGGCCGCCGAGCGGCACACGGTGTTTTGGAACAGCTCCAACCCCAGGTGAGCGCCGGGACCCCCCCGCCGGGGCCGCGCCGTCGGTGCGGGGAGGGCAGCGCCGCCGTCGCCGCCTCCTTTGTCCGGGACGGGGCTGGGGGCGCCGGGGTTGAAGCCGCGGGGGAGCCCGGGGAGCGCGGCCGGGCCCAGGTGCGGTGCGGGGGGGCCTTCGCTTCCCTTCGCTTCCCTTCCCTTTCCTTTCCCAGCGCTGCTGCCCGGGGGCCTCTTCCTTCCCCGACGGCGCGGGCGCCGCGCCAGCCCCGGGGCACGGGGAGCGTGTTGACAAACACGGAGCTGGCTCGGCGCGGGGGGGCGGCGCCTCCGCACGGGGGGGGGGACGGGGACACCCCGCTCCGCAGCCACCAACGCGACGGGGGGCCCAACCTGGCCGCTTTAACCTGGGACCCCCCTGGGCCTTTTGCCCCCCTTCCCCGAGGGGCTTAAGGRGGGACGGACGGGCACCCCCTGTGCGGGGGAACCCCGAGCACGGGCAGTACCTGCCCCACTGCCCCCCCAGGCTGCTGCGGGGCGACTACGCGGTGACCGTGCACCTCAACGACCACCTGGACATCATCTGCCCGCACTACGAGGGGCGCGGCGGGGCGGCGGGCGAGCGCTACGCGCTCTACCTGGTGGGGCGCGCGGAGCACGCGGCGTGCACGCCAGGCTCGCCCGCGCAGCTGCGCTGGCAGTGCGACCGGCCCCGCGCGCCCCACGGCCCCGAGCGCTTCTCCGAGAAGTTCCAGCGCTTCACGCCGCTGCCGCTGGGCAAGGAGTTCGAGGAGGGGCAGAGCTACTACTACATCTGTGAGTGCGGCCCCCCGCCCGTGCCCCCCGCCGGCTGCTCCCCGCGCCAGCCTGACCCCCCCTTTGCCCCCCTGTGCCGCAGCCAAACCCATCGGGCACCACGGCGAGAGCTGCCTCAAGCTCAAGGTGACGGTGGCCGGCCGAGGCAGTGAGTATCCGCCGGGAGGCTCTGGAGCGGCGCCCGGCGCCGCCGCTCCCGGGGCTGAGTCACGGCTGGGGTGTGGGTGCTCCGGCCGGGATACGGCTCCATCGCCCCCCGTTTGCTCCCCCAGCTCCGGCACCRCCATTCCCGGCTGCCACCCGGAAAGGCCGGATCCAGGCAGGTAGGCTAGCGGCCTGTGGGGGAGGGAAAGGGGCGGGAATATCCTGTTTTTGTTGGGKTTTTTTTTTGTTGTGTTTTTTTGGGGGTGAGAATCCATCCTCACGGCCGGCCTCTCTGCCCGTCCCGCAGACGACGCGGCYGCCCACGTGCTGCGCAGCGTGGGCCACAACGCGGCCATGAGAGCCACCAGCCCCCTGGCCCTGCTCAGCCTCCTGCTGCCGCTGCTGGTGCCGCCCGGGCTCTGAGCGCCGCCCGCCAAGGACTCGTGGGGATTCGGGAGCGCCCGGAGCGGCGCCRGCGCCCGGGGAGGCCGCCCGCCGCGGGAAGGGGCTCTGGGATGTGCCGGGAGCGCCCGGCCGCTCCAAAGGGACTGGATGGCAGCGGCCGGAGGGGCTGGAACCCCCCACACCCCCCCCAWGGGGGACCGTGTCCTGCTGGAAGGGACACAGCGTCGGATGGAGCCGGCGCCTGGAGGTGCCCGGGCAGCGGGAGCTGCCCCTCGGGGGGTCCCGCACGGACATTGGTGCCCCCCCTCTCAGCATGGGGCTGTTTTTGCCCCCCTGGTGTGGGGYTGTTTGTCCCCTGGCACTTTGTACAGCTTTCTGACACTGGAGTTTTTTATACGATGGTCTTGAATAAATAACAGAGCGGATGCCTGGTGCCTGGTCTGGCTGGGGGGAGCAGGGCAGCACGGGCGGGCACTGTCTGCCCGGGATGGCRTGGGAATGGGCAGCGGCGTGGGAATGGGCTGTGAGGGTCCCGGCTCCCGGAGCGGCTGGGGGTGCACGAGGGGCACGTACCCACGGAGGGGATCCCGAGGCCGGGGGATCACAGGGATGCAGGAGCCGGGGGAGTGCGGAAAGGGGGGAGCAGAGGGAGGGAGATGCTGGGGAAGGAGCTTCCCTGGGGCTGTGGGATCATGGGGAGCTGGGATTGCAGGAAGGGGGACGGGGGAGCTGGGGGGCAGGTTCCAGGGGCTGCAGGATCCCAGGGATTGCAGGAATGTCAGCTCGTGTTGAGGTGGGCCTGGGAGAGGCAGGATGGGGGGCGACGGGAGGTCTGGGCTCTGGGGGGAGCAGGGGAAATCCCGGGAACAGAAGGGCCAGGGMGGCTGGGAGAGCGCGGGGCCACTACGGATGGGGCTGAGGGAGATGGTTCGGTACCGAGGGGCTGAGATACCGGGCTGGTCCTGAGAGGCTGAGCCCCGGTGCCGGTACTGAGGGACTGGGGGATCCACGCTGGTACTGAGGGACTGAGCCCTGGGGCCGGTACCGAGGAGCAGGGGGATCTGGGCCGGTACCGAGGAGCTGAGCCCCGGGGCTGGTGCTGAGGAGCAGGGGGATCCGGGCCGGTACCGAGGAGCTGAGCCCCGGGGCCGGTACCGA